TCTCCGTTCCCCGGGCACCCTTCGACCGGTGCCGCGGCATTTTCTCGGCTGTGTCGTTCCTGCGAGCGAAATTAAACATTAACTGTTAAACCGTGCCGGGCCGCGCTCCCCGCTCCCATCTCCGCCTTCTGCTCAGCCGTCCGGGGCACCTCCAGCCCCCCCGAATTCAACAAAGCTCTCGTCCAGACCGGGATCTAGTGGGGCCAGGGCTTTGCAGCTCCCACTGGGGCCGTTCAACACCTGCCCGTGCACTGTGCCCCACTCTGCTTGGCCTTACACCTGGATGCATGGAGCTGATTTGGGAAAAGACCTGTAATTTAGCATGTGCTTATGTCCCACCACCCCAAGAGCAAGGCTGCTTCCGAGGCCTCAGCTGCCTGCCGCAATTCCCGCAGTGGCAATAAACACTCCACCGCCCAGCCTCATCTCTCTTCATTCCACTAGTGATGAGCAACATACAGCACAGGATGCAGTTTAGCCCAAGATGAGCAGCCGTGGGAGCATCCAGTATGGCTCATGGTGTTTGAGACCACATCTTGGGTTTGGGAAGACCCTTTAGATGAGGTAAACTAGCCTCCCCTCCATTTAAGCTCTTGGAAAATGGAAAAGTAGAAAATTGCACAGGCCAACCCAACATGGGGAGCAGAGCACGGTGCTCATGGGGCCATAGCCACAGATCTTTCCTCATCCCAGACCTCATTCAGCTCATCCCAAGGGAGTTCTGCAGATCTGCTCCCCTAGGGAGGTGATGGATACTGCTAAGCCACAGCAACTCCCGGCTAACCACAGTGAACAGGGACTCCAGAGTCACTTCCTTTTTACCTCGGGGTGAATCAGAGCACCACAACTTATGGCTCCTCTCCTCACTGCCCCCTCCCTGCCTGCAGAACACTAGCCTGCAGAACACTGTAGAGCTTCACACTGGGAGAAGGGGATTTGGCCCAGCTCTACAACCACCAAAACACCCAGAGCAGGGTGTCGGACAGGTTGTTTTGGGGTTCCCAGGGGATGGGGCTGCAGGACCTCCTCCTTTCATGGCTTGGGGGGGGCTAAAACCCCCAAGGCTGTGCATGCACAAGCAAAGCCAGGCACACAACACACCCCCACATCCACAGCCTGGTGAGGACCCCTACTCTAATGCTCAGAGTCAAGTCCTTTCAGCTGCTTTCTCACACAAATGCTGAGGATTTGGAAAAAAAAAACCCAGCGCTATGCAAAGGCAGTGGCATTTAGCTGTGACCTTTTTCTGTATGCACAGAAGAGGGGGACCTCGCTGTGGGGGCCTCTCTCCCCAGGCAAGCTGAAAGGCCACAGGAGGGACTTATGCCTTTTTAATGAAGGGGTTTGCAGGTAGGACCCCCCACCCCATCTGCTCTTCCGTTTGCACTGGGGAGGCTCTTTGACAGCAGGAGCTAATTGCTGCCAACCTCCTGGGATGGGCTCTGTGGGGACTTTGTGAAAGTCTTTGCAAGCAGTCGCGGAAAAGGGCTATGTGGGGGGGATTAAACAGCATCTTGGTTGTGTTTTCAGCCGGTCCTTCCCAAGGTCCCATCACTGAGGTCCTTCCATGCAATTCCAGAGCTCTTCTACCTGCCAGGTCACAGCCACTCCTGAGGCTGGTCTGCCAGGGTCCCCTACCCGAAGCCAGCTAATACATACCCTGTTGAAACCAGATAACAAGGATTATTTTCTTTGTTCATGGTATAGCTCTAAACACAACAACTTAGGAATTTTTGTGTACCCAGTAGGTCAGACTCGTAGTATTGTCCACAGCCAAAAGGACAGGCTGGCAAGGCAACTTTCCACGAAGCTTTACTTATGGGCATTATGTATATGTTTAATCTCTAAACTGTAACTTAATTGCTCCCTTATCTTGCCGATGGCAGAGGGCAGGTAAGGCTGTCATGCCTGTTTCTGGATTTCCCATCACTGTGCAACAGTCGGGTTTTACTCACGCTTTGCATGCCAGATGTAGTGGAAATCCCTCCTTACCACAGAGACCCTCCTCAGCCACCACTACTGCTGCTGCAGAGCATCACTGGCACTTGTCCAGGCTTCTTTTTAAACCCAAATATTTTTGGTTTGCTTTTTATCTTCCCCCATGCCACAGAAAGATGCTGCTTAAATGCAGAGAGGGGAAATTCAGTCCCTCCTGGAAAACCAGTGCATGAGGAGGGGTGGGAGCAGTTCCTTATTTCTAAGCTCAGCTGCTCACCCAAGGGCTGTTCTTCAGCAGTCCCTCTCCTTTTCCAAGCAGCCTCTATTGGCCACCGTATGTGGGATCCATCTCCTTCCACCACCTCATAGCCCTTGCTCCTTGCCCACTGCAGGATGCAGTCAGCAGGTTTCTGCTTTTCCAGAATCCCTGCATTTCCCTGCAAAACTCCGCGGGTGCGATGGTTGCAGACGAGTTGGGGCTTTCCCGCTAGATGGAGTCCAGAGGAAAATAGAAACCTCAGCAGTGCTGCACAGAGAAAGGGAGGGAAATGTCCATCTCCTGGAATGGGCTATGGGGCTGCAAGTGAGACAAGGCACGAGGAGCTGCACTTGGGGCAACCCCTGTTCTGAATGCAAACAACAGGGGCATCTCTCTGCACCCAGTGTGCCACAGCGAGCTCTTCATGGAGAAGCAGGGCTGGCTGAGCCCCCAGGTGGTGACCAACCCTTCTCACCCACCGCCCTGGGGAGATGCTTGTTTGCAACCACGCTACTGAGCTGCTCACCCCTCTGCCAGGAGCTGGCATGGGCTCTGCCTGGCATATGGATGCCTGCAGATCCCTCTGTGTGGTGGGTTAGCACAGGGAGTTCAAAAGAAGGAAAAAAGCAACCAGGTTGCTTCTCGCTGTGCCTTTTGCTTCTCAGAAGCAATTGTGTCTCAACTGCAGGCTCTCCAATACCACAAATTGAAGCCAGGCTCATGTAGAGGGACGTATGCCGCAGGTCCAGGCCCTGCATGGCTCCAGGACCTCCTTTGGCGCCCTGCTCTGCCAAGCTGCCTTCTGCAAACATCTCCACCCTTCTCCAAGGGCTCAAATCAGCACACAGCTGCTGCCAAACCCATGCCAGACCTGCCATCCCACGTGCAGAGACCTACACCCCTTTCCTGCAGACACCATACCCACCTGCACGTCCAAGCCATGCAGCCACTGCGAGCCCCATAGTGAGAGGACACATAGGACAACTGCCCATCCTCACTACAACCAGGCACAACCTGCCCCACAAGCCCCAGCAGGGAAGCACAGCACCCCACAGGCCCTGCGGTCCTGGCCACAAGCACACAGCCTTCAAGCTTGACCATTTATTTGTTGTGAGGTGGAAGCCCCACGACACTGGGGCCGCATCCTCCTGCCCTATTGGCATCCTCCGGTGCAGGGCATTGCTCGGTGCTCAGACAGGACAGCAGGCAGGACGTGAGACTGATAGCTGCTCCAGCAGCTGGAAGGGATCACGGATCTTCTCCTGGAGGGCAGAGAGCAGTGGGGGCAGGATCAGGCCAGAGAGAAGCAAGAGGCACCCCAGGAAGGCTGCATTCCCCCCAGCTGACTCCCTGCCAGCAGTGCAGCCCAAGGAGACCCTCCATAGCTAACATGGGGTAGCCCCGGGTCACTCAGCTGCTTTTTCCTGCCACGAGGAGGAAGCCAAGAGCTTCTCTGGGACTTCAGCTCTGCTTTTGTCGGAGAAGTGCCTCCTGCTTGGACAGGGACACAAAAACATCTCCCCCTCCCCAAGTACAAGGTTGTGTTTCAGGGACATGCAGCTGCAGGGTGATATCTCCCTTGCCTCTCCTGGCCCATCTACAGGTTGGAGGGACCATCAAAGAAAGAAGAGAGGCTTCCAGCTGATAGAGGTGCTTCGTGCTGTGAGGTCAGGGCTGGCAGCCAGGGCCAAGCTCACATCAGCAGCTGGGAGGGCGATGGGCAGGAACAAGGCACAGGGACTGGCCGTCACCTCCCTGGGGCAGGCTGTCTCCAGCCATCTAACATGGAGAAGGATGTCTCCCCTTGGGAGATCTGAGGCAGCTCCAGCTGTCAGACCGGCAGCCCCCATGGACATGTTGGCAGGCAAAGGGGCTCTCATGTCTGGTGGTTAAAGCAGATCCCCCCTTCGGAGGGCTCCAACCTGTGCTGTGTGCAGTTGCCCAAACTAAGGCACCCCTTCGGTGGACTCATGTCTCTTGGTGTCATGCCATAACTCCTCTGATACCCCAGGGCAACTCTGATTGCATACGACAAACATATCCCCATCACCAAACCCAGCTGTGGGGCTGCCTGCTACCAACCTTGACCCCCTTGCAACTGCAGCCCTGTGGTGCAGCACCAGCTTGGATCAGGAACTTCTCTGCGAACCTGGAGCTCCTCAAGATCGCAGCCATCTCGGCATCCACATCCACCACCTCTCCTTCCTGGGGGCAGAGGGATGGTCACAGGGCTGGGGTCTGGGTTATATGGCCCGGAGGACCCCAGCCACCCAGACAGATGACAGGGAGCAAAAGCAGGAGCACGCAGCCTGACCCCAAAACCTTGAGAAACATTCACAACACCAAGCAGCTGGCTTCAAACCCTCCTGTGAAGCCATCATGGATGTCCTGCTCCCACCCTCACCACAATGCAATGCATGGGTCTGGCTACCTGTCTGTACCTTCCACGGTTTATATAGCCCCCCTGTTCCCACCTACCACCCCTTTTACCCCCAAAATCACAGAGGACACTGCTGAGTAGCACTGCTTTACCCCATCCCTACAGACCAGGACTCGTGGCATCCTGGGGAGCCCCAATGTGTCACACACGCACCTTGAAGGTGAAGTTGGCATCAAACACCAGCTCTTGCTCATGGCCCATGATCCCACCATTGTAGACGACCTGGCCTGGCCCGGCCTGGCCACTACCCAGCACCTTGAAGAGGCGGAAAGTCGCGGAGACAAAGCGGCAGTCACCTGCAAAGGAGAGAGGCTGGTGGGTTGGGAACCAGCGCCGGATCCCAGCACAGCCCCCATGGCTGCCCAGAGCTGCTGCTCTCTGCTCAGACCCTGACCAATGATGCTTTCCAGCTCCTTGTCACCGATGGTAATGGGGCTGGCAGTGACCAGGCACGGGGGGCTGAACCCCACCTCCTCAGCGATGCTGTACAGGTCTTTCCAGTACAGGGCTCCTGCCAGGCACTCTCCTAGCATGAGAAGGTGGACAAAGGTGATGGAGGCAAAGGTCCAGTCTCCCCATCCCATGCAACCCCATCACGGAGCCCTACGCACCCCACAGCACCCTGTGCTTCCGGACGGTCTCGCTCAGGCGCTGGCTAGCATAGACATCACTGAAGTACATCTCTCCTCCAGGCTGGAAGGCAGCAAGGAATGAAGGGAGACCCCAGGAAGCAACAGGACAAAAGGGGCAGGGAGAATAGGGAGCCCCTCAATGCTACATTACTCAGAACCCTATCCAAAGGTGCCCTCCCCTGGCCCCATCCCACATCACCATGCTGGATCCCATTTGCTGCATCCCAGTGTCTCCCCAACAGCAGGGCCACCCCAAACCTGCTCCGCTGCCACCATGGGCACTGGCCCCAGCATTACCTTCAGCACGCGGTAGGCCTCCTGCAGCACAGCCCTCTTGTCAGGGGCAAGGTTGATCACACAGTTGGAGCTTGGGAGGAAACCAGAGTTCATTTGCACCCTCTCATACACTCAGCACCATCAGCTGCTGCACATCCACTGCCTACTCCATGTCCCATTGCTTCATGCAGGATTTGGAGGTGCCAATTTGACCATGAAATGGGCAGTTCGTATATCCCCAGGATCTAACTCACTCAGTTGGGATTTTCCCTTTCCTAACATGTGCTCCTGAAGCAGGAGACCCACTGGGATGCAGGCCTGGACCCCAGCCCACAACCCTGGGCAGCAGCAGCACCAGGGCTGGCAGTGCCATATGCGGTACCTACATGACAACATCGTAGCTGCTGTCAGCCAGCCCGGCATCACCCAGCTTCTCCATGTAGCCCTGGAGGAAATCCACATTTGGCTTTCGGTAGCCAAACTTCTCCATGTGGTAGGCAATGTGCTTCTTCGCCACCTCAACCTGGGAGAAGGAAGGGGATGACGGTGGGAGGATGCTGGGGGGATGAGGGGAAGCCCTGGCTCCGTGACGTACCTGGCCCTCGGTCATGTCTATGCCGGTGACATGGCCCTGCTCCCCAACCAGCTGACTCAGCAGGTAGCAGTCTCTGCCACTGCCGCTACCCAGGTCCAGAATCCGGCACGATGCCAGGCACTCGGGGACCACCAGACCGCAGCCATAGTACCTGAGGGGATGCTGAGCTGAGCCAGGCAGAGGTGCTCCCCTGGGCATGGTGGTTGAAGGGCTGCAGCCCATGGGGACACAACAGCAGAGGGGAAACCCTGGGATTTACTTGGCCACCACCTCCTTGTGGACACACTCCAAGGCATCTCTCACCGCCCTGGGAACGGGCTTGCTCAAGGTGATGCATGCATTGGTTTTCAGGTCCTCCGTCTTCTGCAGCTCTTTGCCATAGTAATCCTGAGGTGGGAGGGACAGAGGTCATCAAACTACAGGAAGCTGTGCCCCGGGAGCTCCCCATGCACCAGAACATGGGGGCCATGCCTGCAGTCAGCTTGTATATGCAATCAGTGTCCTCTGGCACTGGTACTCTCATTTGTACCCTGCTAAAAATTAGGGTAACAACAAGCACCCCTTTTTCCCCATCCTCCCTGGTTCCCCTTGCTTGTACGCACAGATGTGTTTATGCAGTAGGGGATTTAATTCCTATTTACAATAACTTTGCTGGCGGCAGCCCCCATTTCCCCAGCCAAGAGGGGCACGGGGAATGAGGGCAGGGAAACGGGGTTGATCAGTGCCCCACTGCTATGGAAACTGGAGCAAAGGAGCTGGCCACACCGAGTACCGTTATCTGGGGCCCAAAACC